CAGCAGCCACTTCCAGAAGCAGCTGCAGCGAGCGCAGCGATCAGCCATTGCAGGATTGACTGGGGGACACCCCGCCCTCCCTGGGCTGCAGGATCACCTACGGCGGACCCCACCCCCTCCAGTCGGTGGGACTGGTCACGGGGGGGGGCACATGCCTCCACCCTCCCCCCGACTAAGGCAGCACCAGTCGCCCATGGTTATAGCTTATGCATTTCTGAATGAATTAGTCTCTGAGAACCCACTCTGCTCTGCCTTCTGGCTGGCTTCAGACTAACACAGCTAACTACTTCTCCCTACTGGAAATTATGCAATTGTTGAGGAGAAAAAGTCACACATTCATTTTTGTTATCTGAATCATTTGGATTTTCATTATTTGTATATGTAACACAGGAAAAAATAGGACATTTTTGGCAGCCAACAAATCACAACAGGCATTCTTGAACAGAGCACAGTTTGTTCACGATATCCTCAAAGTCACTGCTGCAGTGTCCTAGTGTCAAGTAGTTTAGCTGATAATTCTGAAGCTTTAACCAATACCTCCATAAGCACAGTAATACATCACTAGTACCCTGATGTCCAATGGGAGCATCTCCAGGGTCCTTATAATCTGCTTATCAGAAATCTGCTTATATCTAAACTTCTTACTGTAGCTCACTTGGACAGACTATGTTCTTTGGGTACATGTGATCTCTTTCACTAGGCCAGCTAAACAGTTGGAAAACATATTCTTTACAAGCTTTCAGCCACAAGGCTTTTGAGGCGCCACAAAATGCACCCACACATGTGATTTTGTTCTCCGCACTGCATATTTACAGTTCAGAGTCAAATTTAGATACCAGGAAATCCTGGTATTTAAAAAAAAAAAAAAAAGGTGTGCTGAAAAAGCTCAGGGTGGCACAGGTGCCGGCAGCATGCACCACCCAAAACTGGGGCCTGGCCAGCCAGAGCCACACTCTGGCTGCCAGCCAGGCTCCACATACCTGGATTGCCACAGCTGGAGCCCCAGGAGGCTACCAGGACCCCAGGTAAGGCAACCCCTACCCCACCCAAGGCAACTTGCCACACTCCAGAGTGCATGTGCAGAAGCATTCCCTGGGGATAACTAGCAGTGGCACAAATGTGCCACTGCTATTTGTTCCTGGGGAAATGCCTGAGAGTGCTCATGTGGATGTGCCTTTTGCATGTAAAACCCCTGCCACAAATGACATAGTGATATGGCACGGAACAAAGTATATACTATGGTCAGATTTTCAGTTCTATATTTAAGTATTAAATCTGCAATTGCACTTTCAGTCTCTTTGCAATTTATAAATAATACAGGGAGGTATACACAGATGTATATTGTACACCTAAAATCTGGTGGTGGATTGCACAGTGCTAAGACACACAAGTAATTAAAGTACAACTCTTCCAACTAGTAATCATTAGACAGTAGGGGTGCACCAAAAGAGATTTTTCGGGCAGATACTGACAGCTGATTTTTAAGGAGGCATATCTGCCGATACCAATCCAATTTCCAATACTCAGCCTATCCCCTTGAGTAGCAGTGTCTGTCTGGTAAGTCTGTTATGGTGGAGGGGGAGGGGGAAGGACAGGGGCATGGGAGGTTGGGGAGCAGGTTGAGGCCCCCGTAGTGAAGGAGAGAGAGTGGGGCTGAGGCTGGGGCAGAGGCAGATACTGCCTAGCCAGAGCAGATCATGGGATAGAGCCGTGGCTCATCCAAGGGGTGCAGGAAGGGGAAGGAGGTGGCTCCCACCACTGCATGCACCCCAGGAGGCCATGGGGGTGGGTGTCCCTGGATCTGCATGGGGTGGGGCTGGCTGCCGCTGCAGGCTGGGGTCAGGACAGTGCTGGGCTCTTCCCAGTGAGGGGGCTGGGCCAGGCTGTGCTTGGGACAGGCAGCAGCGCACTGGGAGGGGGCTATGGAGGGGCTGCAGCCACCCCAGAATTCACCGTAGTCCCCTCAATGCCCCCTCCCAGCACCACCACCCACCCCACCCAGAGGGCAGTCTAGCCCAGCTTACCTGCTTGCCCCAGCCTATAGTGGCAGCCAGCCTCAACCCGTGCAGATCCAGGGGCAAATGCCCCACCCCGTGCCCTCCTGGGGTACATGCAGCAGCAGCGGGAGCACCCCACCCCCAAATGATCTGCGACTACTTTATTTCAAAATAAGACCTCTCTAAGTTTAAAATGAATAAGATATGTCTGCTTTTGTTTTACTAACTAAATATGGAATTTTAGATACACACACCATTTTTCAAAAAGGCGGCTTAACCATTTTCAAAGCCCAATGGCAGAATCACTGGGATGAACCAAGGACCACTACAATTTAGTGAAGGAAACAGTGATAATCAGAGTTGTTATATAAGCATAATACAGTAACAAATGAATAGTGTTAAATATGCCAATTTCCTTGGCTCTTTTCAAATTAAGTGTTTGGCTAAAATCCTAAAAAAATCAAGTGCTTGCATAGTAAAAATATAGGAGATGTGCAGTTCAAATTCTTACAAAGCACAAGGACCACATTGTACCAAACTGAACTTGATAGGTGGCCAAGATGAAATGGTATAAACTACAGTTATGCTCAATATATGCCAAATATGCTAGATGACCACTGAGATTTGGACCAATCAAAGGTGGATAATAACCAATCAACTTTATCATAACATGTAATGTTCCATATTTACATTGACTTACATCCATTAAGAACTCTACCAAGCATTGTCTTGCTCACTAGAAAATTGGACAAAAAACTGGTTCAATAAAGAAGGAAGATGGTGATTCTCTTCTCACCACTTAACGCTAAAAGT